TTTTTACTTCAAAATAAGATATGTGCAGTGTGCATAGGAATTTGTTCATAGTGTTTTTTTAAACTATAGTCCGGCCCTCCAACGGGTCTGAGGGACAGTGAACTGGCCCCGTTTAAAAAGTTTGAGGACCCCTGTGCTAGATGCTCACCTAGCAGGAAAAACACATACTAAGACATTCTACTCTGTCCAGCGCAATTCCAGTTTTTTGGGGGGGTACCCCCTCGTAGGGTCATGTATGACTTACTGTTGTGTGTGTGTGTTTTAATGGGGTCTCTTGTCATTGTAATATCAGGGGAAAGGCCCAGATGCCTGGGGTAGACAGCTGATGTCCTCTCCCCAGGGAAGCCCCCCTCTCCCCCACTTGCCAGGACCTAGGAGCCTGAGACGGGCCTTTCTTTCTTCCGGCTCCCTGGCTCTGTGATGTTAAACTAAAATCCCTGTCTGGAATGGAGAAAACATGGCCTGGTGAACAAGGTAAATACTGCCCTGTGTAGATGAAAGGAAACCACTCCAGAGAGGAGGAAACATTCTCCAAACTTACTGGCCTTGAGTCAATTCTGACTCACAGTAACCTTACAGGACAGGGCAGAGCTGCCCCTGAGGCTTTCCGGAATGGTAACTCTTTACGGGTGCAAAAGCTTCCTCTGTCTCCTGAGGAACAACTGGTGGTTTCGAACTGCTAACCTTGCAGTTATCAGCCCAAAGCATTACCTACAATAACACCAAGGCTCCTTTGTAGAGGAGAAAGGGCAGTCAGTGGCTCCGGGAGGTGGAGCCCAGGACTCCTGGCTCATCTCTACCACGTGACCCAATGGTGGGGAGGAGCCCAAGGTCTCCCTGCAAAAGGCCAGGTGAGCAGGCTGTGCACAGGTCTCTCCTGCGGTGGGTGCTCGGGGCTCTGGGTCTGTATGGAACCGTAGGTCCTCAGCCTGTGATATTCTTCAAACGGTTTTCTTATCACAAGAGAATAGTAGCTTGGTGCAAAGAACTTGAAAGAACGTGGGGGTGGGGGACCCCAACCTGGCATGGTAGCTTGTGCCATGGGATTTAAATCTCACAACTTCCACGCTTTCATCTCACGCACAATTGTTTATTGCACTCGCTGAATCTGGCGGGCTTGAAAAGCTTCTGTCTAGATAAACGGTGGCATTCTGACAGTGAGACCAGAGGAAGAAGCGAGCGGGGTGGGGGGCGGTGGGTCCCCATGTTGTGGGTTCTCAGCGGCTATGAGCCTGGTGACCATGCATCACCTAGAAGACACAACCGTGAGTGGCCCAGCCTCCAACAGGTCTTGTTCCCTCAACAAGCATCTACTGCAGGGCTTGTTCAGGGAAGACCGTCCCAGGCTCAGTGCTGGAGACGCAGACAGGCACTTAAAGCCAAACTCACTTCCATCGAGTCCGTACTGACTCATGGCGACCCCCGTGTGTTTCCAAGACTGTAACTGTCTACAAGAGTAGAAAGCCCAGTCTTTCCCCCTCAGAGTTGCTGGTGGTTTCGAACTGCCGACCATGATCGCAGTTACTACTATGCCACCAGGGCTCCTTAAAGAGGTGCACTGTCAACAGAGAGGGTGCTATTTGAGCTGAGACTTGAAGGTCAAACCAGCCTGTCGAAGCCAAACCATGTAGGCAGTGTCCTCCAGGTGGAGGGGACTCAAACTCACTGCCACCGAGTCATGCCAATCCATAGCGACCCTACAAACAAGGTAGAACTGCTCCTGTGAGTTTCTGAGATGGAGTCTTTGGGGGAGTAGAAAGCCCCATCTTTCTCCCACGGAGCGGCTAGTGGTTTTGAACTGCTGATCTTGTGGTTAGCAGCCAATGTGTAAGCACTCTGCCACCAGGGCTCCTGGCAGAGAGGACAATTCATGCAAATGTCTGGAAGCAAAGGAAAGCTGGGCAGTTCTAGCACCCAGGACACCCTTTCCCTCTCAGAAGGGAGAAGGTGCCCCAGAGGCCAGAGAGTGGGGCAGAAACCAGGGGCTGGAAGCTTTGCCTTGTTGAGATCACCGTAGACAAGGCAGCGAGGTCCTCCGTGAGATAACACAGTGCAGGCACAGGCTGGGCCCGCCACTCCCTACAGGGCTGAACAGGTACAAAGGTGGCAGGGGAAGGGACAAGGTGATATCACCATGCCTTGACTGGGTACCCAGGTGGATGGGCCTTCCAGGGGACTGAGGAGGAGGAAGATGGTTGAAGGCTGAGTCCAGAAAGCCAAGTCAGCAGGCCCTCTCGGAGGCAGGCTCTGAAAGCTCGGGGCTGACTTGGGGTCCGCGGGTAGCCCAGGAAGCTGGAAGCAGCAGGAACTAGCCAGAGAGGCCTGGGGTTCAGGGTGGCAGCTGTGAGCGCAGACTGGGCCTGGAGCTCACAGGATGCGTCCCTCCACTCGCAGCAGCAGGTAGCCCCGGAGGAGTGGGGGCAGCAGGAGCTGGAGGGCAGCCTGGCGGCAGCGGCCACTCAACTGAGCACGCACAGCCAGCCGGGCCAGGTGCTGCAGCTGCCTCGGCTGGTTCACCATGCACTGGGCTGAGCGATAGAAGGCTTCATGCTCCTGGGTTACAAATGGGACAGGGTTAGATGGCCCAGCACCCTTCTCCCTTTGCCCTCCCACCTGGGGACGACCCAGTAGCATGAGGGAACAAAATGTACCCATCTGGGTGTCTGGTGCATCTCAAGGCTCAATGAGGAGCCCTGTACAATGCTGGGGGCTTAGCTCTATGTCTGTACCCAGCCTCCACCCAGAGAGCCTCAGTGTCCTGAGTGACTGGGCAGAGAGACTGGAGACGGGTCTGGGACCTGAGGCCAGGCTGGACACAGGAATCTAACCAGCCCCCCCCCAGCTCCAGGGTCGAACCCCTCCAGCTCCCCTTGGGGTCTCCAGAAAGAGTTCTGTCCTTGGCGTGGGCGTACCTGCCACCGCTCTGGAAGCACTGCCTCCACCCAGGAATCACAGGACGGGACACATGGGTAGGCATTAAGCAGGACTTCCAGCGCCCGAGGGAAGGAGGCACACAGTTTCAGCATCTAGGAAGCAAAAGCGGGTCTGGGATCCGGTGCCACCCCCAACCAAGGGCAGATCCCAATCTAGCCTAACCCCTGCCCCCTTCCCACTAAGTCCCTTCATTTAGGGGCTACGGTCTGCGTCTCTCCTCGGCCTTCAAGTACCTCCCACCTCTTGGGCTCGGACCTCGTTCCTTCATCCCGGGTGGCGAGACCCTCGGCCCCTGCCGGTGGATTTCAGGCCCAGGCTCTTGAGCCCCTTTCTTCCCCTGAGCCAGGCTCTCCACCCACCTCGGGGCGCACAGGCGGGGCCCCATAGTCCAAGAGCGCTGCGAACAGGACCTCAGGCTCGCAGTTGGGGACGTCCTGGGCAGCTTGCAGCGCGCAGTCCATGGGGGTGTGGCCGGCCCCGTTGGGGACGCCAGCGCGGGCCCCGTGGCGCAGCAGCAGCTCGGCGAGGCCCCCGCAGCCGTTGGCACAGGCGTTGTGCAGCGGCGTGTGGCGCTTGCGGCCGGCGGCCCGAGCATCAGCCCCGGCTGCCAGGAGCCGCCGCGCCACCGCCTCGTGCTGCAGGCCGCAGCCCGGGCCCGGGGCCGCCGCGCACGCTGCGTTCAAGGCCGTCTCGCCCTGGCTGGTGCGCAGGCCCACGTCGGCGCCATGGTCCAGGTAGAGTGCCACGTGCGCCTCTAGGCCGCGGGCCGCCGCCACGTGCAGGGGTGTCACCTCGCTTTCGCGCGCCGCCAGGTTCACTGTGGCCCCAGCCTCCAGCAGCAGCCGGGCGCACCTGGGGACAGGGGCAGCCCCCCCGCCCGGGGGTCAGTTTTCATAGTCCGAAGGCCTGACCCACAACCCCCCAGCCATCCTCCACCAGAAAACCTGCTGCCATTCCCCAAACCCAGCCCACTTGCTTCACCCTGAGGTCTGGTGGGTGCCTGTCCTCACACAGAGACCAAGACAGACAGAAAAGACCCATTCGGGGCTCCAGGAGCACCTCTGGTTTGGGGATGAAAAGTCTCTGGGCTGCCAGGGCACTCAGCAAGTTAGTGAGGGCGGCAAAATTAGAACTCAGTGCTGGACAGTCCCTCCCAGAGTCTAACCAGGCCACAACTCCAAGTCCTGGTTCTGAATCACCTGCCAGTGGTCTCATCGCAACATTTTTTAAAATTAAAAGATCATTTTATTGGGGGCTGTTAGAACAATCCAGGCATCAGTTGTATCCGGCATATTTGTACATATGTGGCCATCATTCTTGTCTAGACATTGACTTTCTGTTGAGCCCTTGGGATCAGCTCAAACCTGCCCCCACCCCCCAGTCATCACAACATTCTGATAGCACAAAACTTTGACAATATTTGGCTGTGTCGAGTTGGGCACCCCCACTGCCTCGCCCTGACATTCGCTAAGACGGTGGTTCTCAACCTTCCTAATGCCTGGATCCTTAAACACAGTTCCTCATGTTGTAGTGATCCCCAACCATGGGAAATATGTGTTTTCCGATGGTCTTAAGAGACTCCTGTTGGACCCCCAAAGGGGTCACCACCCACAGGTTGTCATTCGATCCCAAAAGGGGTCGCGACCCACAGATTGAGAACTGCTGCTCTAAGGTTAACAGGTCTCAGATCCCCTCCCTACCTGATGGTGTTTACACTCTAACATTTATGTTAAGAAGCGTAGAAACGTAAAGAGGGTGGGCAAAATAATAAGGAATACAGCCCAGTTTTCTAACTGTCCCCAAACTAGACGGCCTGACCACCTGGACCAGCCATAGTCACACCGGCAAAGGAAGGCCCTTGGGGAAACACCTATTCCACTTTCCCTAGAGCAGTAGTTCTCCACCTGTGGGTCACGACCCCTTTGGGGTTCGAACGACCCTTTCACAGAGGTCGCCATTTTGCTACTGTTATGACAGTAGTTAAATGACAGCTATAAAGTAGCAATGAAAATAATGTTATGGTTGGGGGGTCACCACCGCACGAGGACCTGTATGAGAGGGTTGCGGCGTGAGGACGGTTGAGAGCCACTGCCCTAGAGAAAACACACTAAGCCCAGGTTTGAGGGAGCACAAGCCGCATAGGCCTCTAATTCCACAGTCGCTGTAAATATGCATCAATGTGCACCGGGGTCAGCCAAAGATGCAACCGACTAAATTACTCATGAGGGCACTCAACTAACAGTCATTGATAATTAAAACGCCCGCATGGCAGCCGCTGGACACTCCGGAGCAGCAGCCCTGGCCCTGATGGCGCCCTGATAAGCGGTATCCCGTCCCCTAGGAGCTGACAGTCCAGCACCTCTGAGCAGCACACAGCCCCTCCCGAGGGTGCTCTTGTTCAGTGGCCAAGAGCAGGGCAGCCGCCAGTCGTCCGTGAAGGACTGAGTCTATTTCCTCCGTGAACCCTAACCGTGGGCTCCCTCGGAGTTCCGAATGCCACACGTCAGTGACATTGTAAAGCTTGTTCCGTAGGGTTCCAGAAAGCGGCTGTTCTCACCTTACAGACAGAGCGTCTGTGGAAAGTTGCGCCACGTGTACAGAAGGACCCAAGAGCAGGCTTACACATCTGGATCCCTCCTAGGCCCATCACCCACCTTTCCTGTAGCTGGGAGGTGGGGCGAGGGGGGCTGTCCCAGCAGGTGAGCTGTGGAGGGTCTTGCTTTCAGGAGCCCTTGAGTAAAGACCACCACATCAGGTAGGGGCTCTGAGAGCCTTAACCGTAGAGAGTACCAGGAGGAGGTGGTGGGGGCGCCCACCTCGACACAGGTAGGGTTTAGGCTACAGCAGAGTCCCGGGGACTAGGGAGAAGGCGGTTGGAGAAGGGATTTTGACCCCCTCAAAAGCAGCAGGTTGTGCCTGCCTCCAGGGCCTTGCAGCTGTGACTTTAGACAAGTCACCAAAGATTTCTGGGCCACACATGAGGCCAGTGTTCCTGATTATTGTGGGGACATGTATGTGAGGTGCTTTGGGGACGGCAAAGGTGCCTATGGAGGTGAATTCCTCCCCTTCTCCTGGCTATGCGAGCTGGAGACACACACACACACACACACCACCACCACCACCACCCCACCACCCCCGCCCCCACCGCACTCTCAAGCCCTGGACACCTACTGCAGAGACTCGGGGACTGTGCAGAAGTGCAGGGGGGCAGTGCCCTCCTCAGACAGCACGTTGGCCTTGGCACCGAAGGTCAGCAGCAGCTGCACACAGTCGGACTGAGCCCCACTGCAGGCTTCGTGCAAGGCCGCCCGGCCGCCGATGCGGGAGTCCAGCTCAGCCCCCTGCCGGATCAGGTGGCGGGCACAGTCGGTGTAACCTCGGGCGGCAGCAATGGTGAGGGGTGCTGTCTGCTTGGTCTTGGGAGTCATCACCCAGAACCCTGAGGAAGCAGGCAGGGTTGGGTTGGGGAGTGTGGGGACCTTGGGGGCAGGGCAGGGCGTGGGCTGCTGGAGGCTGGTGGAGCCAGGGCCTGCGGTGGGGATGTGCACGGGCACAGCGCGTCGGGCGGCTGCTGGACGGTCTGGAACCATCGTGTGTGGGGCAGAGAACAAAAATAAAAATAATTGCCCCTAAAAACCACAAAAGCCAGCTAAGAAGGGTGGATCCCTGGGAAAAACCTCAAGGTCTTTGAGCTGCTGCCGGGCGCCGGCTTGGTGCTCACCTGGGCTTTGGGTGTGGAGGGGGTTGGGCTGGAAGGCCGGGAGCTGACAGAACCGGAGGAGTGTGGAGTGGTGAACTCCGCGGGGTGGAGGTGGAGGGAAGGAACGAGGGGAGAGGAGCAGGAGCAGGGAGAGGCCTGGGAGGAGAGGTTGATTGCTGTGCAGAAGTACAGTACTCTGAAGAAAGAAAGGGTCTGGACTTATCTGAGGACACCCACCGCGCCTCATGCTGAGTGTAAATAGTTCGCATTTCGCCCAAGTAAATCTGGCTTTCCTAAATCCCGAGGAACGAACGCCTAGATTTTGTTTTTAGCTTTTCAAGCGAAGGTAGGAAGAGCTTGCGTGCCACTGGGAGGGTGAACGACAAGATCAGGAAGCCATGGGTGCGATCACTGTCCCTCCTGGATAGGTTGCAGCCAAGGAAGGATTTTGAGCCTGGAATGAATGTGGGGGCTGGTGGAAGCGGCTAATGGAGAGGCTGGAGATTACACACACACACACACACACACACACACACCCCACGCGCCCCCAGGTACCTCAGAAGAAAGGCTTAGTGATTGACTCCCCAGATCCATCCTGCTCTGGCCACTGGGACCCAGCACGGTGGGGATCGACTCCGCCACAACTGGTCTAACTGGTTGGTGCTGCCGGGACGGACATAAATCCTCCCGAGGATTTGGGAACCCCAAAATCTGTGACTGGGGTTCAGGAAGTCTGTTGACCTTCAGAAAGCAGGGCTGTCTTGATTGAGCTGTTTGGTTTCCCCAGGGTGGGTGGGAATCTTGGGGTTCCCTTGGGGATTCAGTTGGCAAACACCCGAAGGTGTCCCTGGGATTGTTATTTAAATGAGTCACACGCACACACACGCACACACACAGAGGAACCCCATTCCACCTGGGGGTTGGTGAGATAAGTAAATCACGGTGCTTGCATCCAGGAGAATTCATTCGCCTATTTAAACTATCACGTGGGCTGCAGCTATTGACCTGGAAAGATGTTACATGAAAAAGCAGGTTATGAAACATAGTATCTCATTAAGGTGGAGTATCTCATTTTGTAAAAGAAAAACATTCCTGTGTGTGCCGACATACCAGGGGAAAATGTTGCCCGGATATAACTGCGGTTGCTCGCCACAGTGTGTGGTTATTATGTTTAGAGTTAGGAAATACAGTTTTAATTCAGAGTAGACATTCCACTCGTCGACCCCTAACAGCCTTATCTCCATGGAGGAAGGAGCGGCATGGGTGCTGATGAGTAGGTGGCCCCCACCTGCGGTCTGGAAGGAGATGGCCCCTCCACCCACCCCCACCACTGCTCCCCCGTCCCGGTGCTCCCTACCCTGTTCAGCTGACCAGGCCAGCTGGTTGCTCACGGTCTCCACAATCAGATTGGCAGCCTCTTCATCTTGGAACAGGGATTGGACCTGCTGCAGGTCTCCCGAGAAGAGGGCGTTGTGGACCACTGGGTCTCGACAGGTGCGTCGAGGCCTAGTGAGTCTGGTGAGTCGAGTGGGGGGCCTGCTGGGAGACCTGCGCCTCCGGCATTGCCGGGCCACTGCCCTCCGCCGATCCTCCCACTCCAGCCACTCTCGCTGCAGGCGGAGAGAGCGCAGCGTGGAGGAGGTGAAGGGGAAGGTCTCACCCGCCATGGCCAGGGCACACGGGTCTGGGCAGGGCCACCTGGGCACAGCCAACTTCCCTGGGCCTAGCCGCTACCCTTGTGTCGAGGAGCCACCCTGCCCCCTCACCCCTGAGCCAGAGAGAGGAACAGCTGGGCCTATAAATAGGGCCCTCTGCTATTCTGGTCACTGTTTGCCCAGGGTCAGGTCCGGGTGCAGAGGAGGTGCTGGGCCAACCCCCAGCGCAGGGCTGGGACAGCTCCTGTCTCTGCCGCTATTTGATAGAGGTCCTCAACCAAGGCCCCTGCTGAGCCCCAGTCCCTATCCCCGTACTTGTGTTGAGAGAGATCATCCTTTGGCTGGCAAGGTGAGTGAGCATCAATCAGGAGGTAGGCCAGCCAGGTGCTCAGAGGGGAGAGGGCAGCCCACTCAGCCCAGGCCGTCAAGCTGGTCAAGAATCACTCCTCCTTAAAGATAAACAAGCGGCCTTCAGCAATCGTGTCAGGAAGGTGAGCATCCCAGAATGCCACGTTCTTAGAAAAAACTGTTCTTGTGTCGATGGAGTGCTTGTGTGGAGCCCCGGTGTCTGCTGCCTTAATACCTAACATAATATATGTACATAGATCTATTTCCCTATTGTCATATATAAATCTATATACCTATGTACATTCCTGTATTTAGACCTCTATAAATGCCCTTGCCACCTAAAAAAAAAAAAAAAAGATAAACAAGCAGCCATCTAGCTCAGAAGCAACAAAGCCCACATGGAAGAAGCACACCAGCCTGTGTGATCATGAGGTGTCAAAGGGATCAGGGATCAGGCATCAAAGTACAAAAAAATCAAATCATTGTGAATGAGGGGGAGTGCAGATTGGGGACCCAAGACCCATCTGTAGGCAACTGGACATCCCCTGACAGAAGGGTCGTGAGGAGGAGACAAGCCAGTCAGGGTGCAGTGTAGCAACGATGAAACATACAACTTTCCTCTAGTTCCTAACTGCTTCCTCCCCCACTATCATGATCCCAATTCTATCGTACAAATCTGGCTAGACCAAAGAATGTACACTGGTACAGTTAGGAACTGGAAACACACAGAATCCAGGACAGATGATCCGTTCAGGACCAGTGCTGAGAGTGGCAATTCCAGGAGGGTGGAGGGAAGGTGGGGTAGAAAGGGGGAACCGATGACAAGGATCTACATATAACCTCCTCCCTGGGTGGATGGACAACAGAAAAGTGGGTGAAGGGAGACATCGGACAGTGTAAGTTATGACAAAATAATAATTTATAAATTATCAAGGGTTCATGAGGAGCTGATACTAAGGGCTCAAGTAGAAAGCAAATGTTTTGAGAATGATGATGGCAACAAATGTACAAATGTGCTTGACACACTGGATGGATGGATTGTGATAAGAGTTGTACGAGCACCCAATAAAATGATTTAGAAGGAAAAAAAAGAATCGCTCCTCCAGGTGTCAGAGAATCACACATACGCTCCTCTTCTCAGGCATGCGCATGAGGGGGAGAATGGAATCGAGAGAGAACGGACTTCTTCCACGAATTTTTGGGAGCCCCCTCATACTTCCCAGCTTGCCCAAGGAAGCAATGCATTTGGTTTGGCCAGTAACTCCTATGGTCAGGCAGGGTCTCACCGCCCAGCATCTGTGCTCTGATCCCAAGTGTCCAGGAGAGGAACGCCAGGCTTCATTCCGTTCCAGAGCACACAACCTGTGAGGACGAAGACCCCTTCAGCTCCATGCCCCACCCCATTGGTTGGCACCCTTCCCTCCAGCTGCTGTGGCCACCTGAGTCCTGAGCACACACACCTTTCTTAGAGCTCCGCTCCCTCGCCCTGGAGAAATGACCTCCCATGGGGCTGACCAATGATCCTGGAAGCCACAAGCTCATCCTCGCTTAAGAGAAAGCAGTGGTGTTGCTTCCAGGAGCCTCTAGGGGGTGGAATGCGGTCGTGAAACAGTTCCTGGCTGAAGCCAAGGAATCACTTGTGTGCCTGTGGAACTGGGGTGAGGGGGAAGGGGAGGAGGGTGAGCTACCCTTTGCCCTCAGGTCTGCACGCGCAGTTATGATAGGGTCTAGCTGTAGGTCTTGGTTGGTCTGCCGCTCCCTGGCCTTGCAGTAGCTCTCAGCTCCTCTCCCTGTGCTCAGCCACCAGCGGAAGTTCAGGCCTCTGACGTTTCTAATCTGGTCCTGCCTCAGGCTGCAGCCAGCTCTGCGCAGGGCCAGAATGATCTCCAATGGATGTCCCTTACTTGGAAACTTCTACTGATTCCTTACACCCGCCTTCTCCAGCTAAGCCCCAATTTCCTCTGCTTGGAACTCCCTTCTTTTTCTTTTCTTTTTTAACTGCAAAAGGAAGCCTTACTGTTCCCGTTGGGTCCACACTTTGGGAGACAGGCTCCAGGGCCTTGGCGATGATGGGGCTCGAGGGCAGGTTCAGGCAGCGTCTGAGGCCAGGACGGACCCGCAGGCTCCCCAGTCATAAATGAGGGTGAGTCTCTCACCCAAACCCCACCTGAGGGCTGGCCACGTGGTTAAGTGGTCGCCCATCATCTTGAGGAGTTCCACCTTCTCACCCAGGAAGTTCTCCAGAAAGTTACAGAGCGGGGTGTGTGGGTGTGTGAGTCCGGGTACTTTAGAGAAACAAATCCATGGAAACTCATGTCTGAGAGAGTTTTATATAAAGGTTAAGTGCACATCAGGAAAACATCCCAAACCAGTGCTGCCCAAGCCCACAGTCCAACATTAACTCATTAACCCATATGTCCAATACCAATCCACAAAGTCCTCCAACATCTCACAGAACAGACGCAATGATGCTGACTACAGAAGGAAAGCTGAGTCAGTGAGTGTGTAAACATCTCAGCACTGGCAGGGGTCTCCACACGGCTGCTCCAGCACCCAGGGCTGCATCGGGGTAGGTCCATGTGGCTTCTCCTCAGGGATGTCTCACAGGAAGTGAGCCTTGCCAGCTGAAGCAGGAAACTGGCTAAGGCAGCTGCACCCTGGTCTGACCATCAGAAAGCAGGAGACCCGAGAACTCTAAAGGTGAGGCTCACTGAGCCATTTATTCCTCCGCCCTTCAATTAACCCCACATGTGTTTATCGGCCAGGTTGGCACCATAAACTAGCTCAGGGGGTGCGGCGGGCGGGTGTCCATGTGTGTGAAGACCCCCTTGGTGTGCAGGTCCTGAAAGGCCTGGTGGGGGTTCTTCCCTGGGGCCAGGGTTCGATCCCACTCGTCCTGGGGCAGTTTCTGCACAGCCTGGATGACAGTGTGGCCGTCTTGCTGGGTTTGTAGCTGCAAGAGCCATGTGGACCCCCTCATGCTTCTCAGCAGTGTCCCCCCAGCCTGGCAAGGCCACATTGTCGGGGTCAAAATAGAAGCCCAGAGAAAAGTACATGTAAGAGGCCCACGGAGGCAGGTTGACCAGACGGTCGGCTTTGGTGGGATAATTCTGACAGAGCTGAGAGCGCACGATTGGTCGAGGGTTTGGCGCTAACTGCACACAAAATAAAACGGAGTTAGCTGGTCCCGTCAGAGCGGATGGCCACGAAGGTCCCAGAGTTGGAGAGTGGCGGAGGCCATCCCGCGTCTGTTCCATCCACACACTGTGGAAGCCCAGGGGACCGACCGCCAGGCAAGCCGCTGTTGCTTTGATAAATTGTGAATTAAGTGGAGGTTTGTAGAGCCCGGCACCCACTTTACTTCCACAGTTCATGTCCACTTTGCAACCCCTCAGTGGACCATGACTTATCTCCTCCCTTCCTGTGTTCCTTTCTTCCTTCTCCTCTCTGAACTTTACCCTGGGGTAAAAAGCTGCCCCTTTGCCCTTCAGTGGCTGATTATCCTACCCCAGGGCAAGTGCAGCGGCTCAGAAGTCCCATCCCTCTCTCCCCGACCCATCTGCCTGGCTCTCCCGGGACTCTGGGTTGTGTTGCACGTTCCTCTCCAGCTCTATTGAGGACCTTCTTGTGGGCTCCCTTTCCAAACAGCTGGTGGAGGAAGCTGGGCACCATCTAGTTGTTCTGGTCTTAGGGCTGCACAGACTGCTGTGTGTGTGTGTGTGTTGGACTAGCTGATGGGATGAATTGTTTCCGTGTCTTGATTTTCACCCTGGTGGCGTAGAGGTCATGCATCTGGCTGCTAACCTCCAGGCTGGCAGTTTGATACCACCAGTCTCTCCGAGGGAGAAAGTGGAGGCATTTGACTCCCATAGTCTCAGAAGCTCACAGGGGCGGTTCTGCCCCATTTTGTGGAGCCGCCGGGAAGGGCAGCGGGCTTGGTTTTCTTTCCTCCAGGAGAGAGGCCAATGGCTGCAGCTTAGAAGGCTGCTCACCAGCGTTCACTGTTCACCCAAGTGGGATGTAGAGCAGTCTTTTTAAACTCCATCATGCCAATAGAGCTCGTTGGTCCCCCCCCTCCCAGTCTATGGTACCGAGCCCCAGGCCCAGCGACTTCTTCTCTCTAGTTTTATTACAAATAACCTAAGAGGTATTCATAAACTTGCTTCCTGCATGCCCCACCATGTCTATGGAGTTATTTGCAGCCAAGATAAACACAACTGCACTCTGCCTTCTGACTTAGTCTTCCCAGCAAATGATGTCCTTCCAGCAACCTGCCTCCCAACTGAGCGCCCGAAGGCCCTCCCTGCACTTGCTGAGACACGCGTCCCGGGGTTCCAGGGCAGGACCCGAGTTGAGTCAAGCTGCTTCTGGGCCAGGCACATAGTGGGTCAGGAGGGTGTATGTAGGGGCATTTGGCTCATTGCAGGCCAGCCTCTTATGGAAGGCATCGCAGGAAGGTCCTTATTCTCTGCCAGAATACCCACCCATCTGTCCACCCAAGTGGATGGCAGCAGCCTGGGCCTCTTCAGGCACTGCCCTTACCCTGCTGTCCTCCACACGCGGCCTGCCCCAGGTATCCAGGGCGGGGACTCCAGAGGAAGAGTGAGTTCACACCCAGCCAGGGCTAGGGGATTCCTGATAGCTTGAACCGTGTCTTCTAAGACAACGTGCCATAAGTCCCAAACTACGCGTGTGGTTATATTCCCGTTTGGGAATGGGCTGACTTTGTTAGGCTAATGAGACCGCACCGGTGTCCTGTGTGTGTTCAGTCCAAAAAGAGACAGAACCAGCAAACTGGAAGCAGCAGCTGAGATGGGGAAGAAAGAGGCCAGGTCACCAGATGTTCAGAAGCCAAAGTTCAGAAGTCAGGACCTTCCTCCAGGGAGAAGCTTCCTGGAGAGCCACATCCTCCCTTCAGACCCCCAGCCGCCTGATGTGCGTGTGAGGGAAGTCCTGCTTGTGACAGCCACCCGCCTGTGGCATTTCTGTTTCCCAGCACTGGGCACCCAACGCAGAGCAGCTCAGAGTAAGGTGCTTCTACCAAAGCTGCCGTGATGGACCCTGGTGGAACGCAGCCTGTTTTTGTTGTCCCGCCAATGGACTGGCTGAGCACCCACAGCTGCGCTCCCAGGGCGGCCCTGTTATCCCCGAGGCACCTGGCAGCCTCGGCCCCTGACCTTGCCGGCATCATGGCTGCCTCCTTGAGGCACAGGGACGTGCTGGCTACAACTCAAGCCTCCTGAGAAGCTGGGTTGTGCTGCCGGTCTGTTCCCTGCCCACAGGGAGCCAGAAATCCCACCGGCGGGAACAGTGAGTGGATGTCCTGTCTGACACCTGTGCATGCAGAGCCTACAGCGGGACGAGGCACACCACCGGAGGGCAGGTGGGACGGTGGGGGACAGGAAGTCCCCGAGCGAGCGGGGAGCACATGGAAGCTGCAGAGGCCGAGCCGGGCGGAAAGAGAGGGGTTCCCGGTCTGCTCCAGTCAGAAGAGAAATAAGTGCTGGGGAGGCAGCCCCTTCTTGCGTCTAGCTCCCGGCCTAGGGGCCTTCTGGAGAAAAGCTCCGCTGTAGCTAGCAGCCAGCTAGCTGCACACGCACCTCTGAGAACTGGGGGCCACGGGATGAATGCCTTCCCCAGAGCAGGGTCCAGGAGCCCTGGTGGTGCTGTGGTAATGTGCTGGGCTGCTAACTACGAGATCAGCCATTCGAACTCATCAACCGCTCTGTGGGGGAAAGACTTGGCTTTCAAGAGTTAGTCTCAGAAACCCCAAGGGGCGGATGTACCCTGCCCGATAGGGTTGCTCGGAGCACTATGGGTAGTTTCCAACCTCCCACCCTCCCTTGCCTCCTGGGCTTCAAGGCTTCAGGAACAGCCCCAGAAATATGCAGTATGGGCCTCCGTTAATAATGATGTTATCAATACTGGCCCATTAGTTGTGACAAATGTAAGTTGTGAATAGCAGAGAAAGTTGGGTGTGGGTGCATAGCTAGTACCTGCCCAATTCCTCTCTACATCTACAACGATCTAAAAGAGAGTTATTTTAAAAAATGAGTTACGTGGCCCTGCCCCAACCTGCACATCTGCCCTGGCCCTGCTCTGGCTGGGCAGACAGGTACCCAGCAGCAGGCAGGAGGGAGGGCAGGCAGGTGAGGTGAGCTGCTTTATTGCAGAACAAGGTACCATGCCCCGCCCCCCAGCCCTGCAGCCGGGCACCCACATGCAGGGCAGCCGGGCACCCACATGCAGGGCACCCACAGGCCTCGCAAGACACAGTGTGTCACTTCCTGGTCTGGAGGGCACGGCGCCATGTTGTGCCGGGGCTCCACCCAGCTTGTCAGCTGTCCAGGGACATGAGACCCAAGACCCTCCAAAGTCAGGTTGGGGGTGGGGGGCACGACGCTGGAACACTGGAGAGCCAGCCTGGGGCTGAGCTCTGGCATGCGGAAAAGAGCCCCCCTGAGACAGCCATGCAGCATCTCAGAGGTGAGGGAGGGTCTCAGGGCCCGCGAGTGACCACAGGGGCCCCCTCCTCTGCCAAGTCTCCACCTAGGCCAGCCGTCCTATCCCTTGGACGTGATCAGGCGCCTTGAGGGGCCTTGCCTGGGCACTGCCCAACTGCTGCTCCAGGTGGGTGCTCTGCCTGGGGGCGGTCCCAACTACTGGTCCCCCGAGAAGAAGTCCTCCGGGAGCTCGCTCAGGAGCCCGTCCAGGTCATCTGCAGAGAGGGAAGGCGGTCAGTGACAACATGAAAGCTTCACCGAAACCTCACCCTGGCCGGGCGGCGGGCCCAATGCCAATGGGCCTGAGCCCGGCCTGCCGTCCCCCTGCCCTCTGCTCCCACACCCTCACACGCGACAAAAGGCAGGGGCCACAGTCCCCGGCCAGTCTGCAAGTCTCAGTGCTGCTGCTGTTCCGGCCCAGAGGCCCAGAGCCTCAGGGCCTGAGCAGGCGGCCCCAGGCCGGCCTCTCCTTCGACCCAGCGGAGACGAGACCAGGCAGGGGAAAGGCGCTCAGTGTGTTTGGGATCCCAGTTCATACTCTGGTTCTCATGGGAAGGTGGGAAACACTGCCTCTTTCCCATGGGGCTGGGTGGATCTAAGTTCCTGACGGAGGGTCTTCGGTAGGGCAGCTGTGGCCAAGACTTGGCAATAAGGCTGGGTTCAGTAATCCCTACTGCAACAGTTAACAAGAGCTGTTAACACTAAGACTGAGCCAGCCTTCCTCGGTTGCCGGCTCAGGGCCCGCCCACTCATTACTCATCACTGAGTAATCACTGAGTATTCAGGCTCACGTTAACCCTTCATGAAAATCCTTGACAGCCCCCACTGTAGCTGAGAAGACGGGGCTTATGAAGGTGCAACCTTGCCCAGCTAAGCACACTTGCGCTCCATCTGACTCCCGGAGCCACCGTTTCCAGCCATAAAGCCAGGGAAGGGATCAGGAAATCACCAAGCTGTTTGCTTGTTTGGCAGATCTGTCTCCACCATGGAGCTGTGACAGTTGCCACTACGCAACTAACCCAGGACCCCCAGCAGCCTCCTGAAGACACGGCGTGCGTTCAAGCTTACGCATGAGGTGAGTCTAAGATCCCAGGCAAGGCGAAATTCCAGCCCGAGGGGCCAAAAAAATAAATGGGCTTCATGGTTTATACATTGGTCTACTGTGAATTTGGTTAGTGTGAGATACCCACAATCCCAAGAACATTGGGGCCACATAGGGCTGATGGTTTAGAACTGAGAAGCTGAAGAGCAGGCCCTTGATTATGTCACTGTCCTTTGGGTGGTCCTGCCTCCTGGGGAATCGGCTGGCTTGTCCCCAGCAAGCCTGGCTTTGCCTCCTCCCTGAATGGGCTCCGGGCTTAATCAGGATAGAAAAATCTGCTTCCATGGCTTGGCCATCAGCCAAGTAGGACACAAGAACAGAGCTGGCCTCCTGGCAGCGGAAGACCTGGACACCAGGGAGACCTGTGGGTCAGACTTGTATTGGCCTTACACGGCCCGTCTCACGAGCCAGGGCCAGGAATGGCAAGACTTCATCTTACATATTTTGGACATGTTTTCAGGACAGACCAGCCCTCGGGGAAGGACGTCATGCTTGGTGAAGGCGAGGGGCAGCAAAAGAGAGGAAGGCCCTCCAGACACGAACTGACATGTGGCGGCCACATGGGCTCAGGCCAGTGATGAGGATGGGCCGGCCCAGGCGGTGTTTACATAACTGACGTGGGGCACCTGGCAACAACATCGCATCTACGAGTTGGCGTGACTTCGAATCGACTCCCCAGGCAAAGGCTTCCTGTGGACTAGTTCATGGCCTGCAGACTCATCAAACACAAGATCACATCCGACGTCTCTAAGACCCGAAGACCCCTCCCATGAGGAATGAGTCAGGGAGGCGCAGGCTGAGCGCTTCAGGAAGAAACCGGACCTCCCCGAGACCAGAGGGACTAGATGGTGCCCAGCTACCACCACTGACCCATCGGCCAGAATCAAACTTGATGATCCCAGATAGACTGGGAAGAAAAAGAGGAACAAAACCCGAGTCCAGGCTAACGGGGCCACCTGAGAGAGAGCACAGGGACCTCCGCACTGTCCCGAGATGGCCTCGCAGCAGAGGGACACAGGGACACGTAAAGGCATGACCGCCGGCTTGCTGCTCCACCGGAAACCACGTCAGAGCCCACAGGGCGGTTTTGGCCGTTCCTGCCAAGGCACCCCATGGGCGGGGGGCCGGACCGAGGGAGTGCAGAGGAAATATAGTCCTGGAAATGGACAACCCTGACCCTGATGGAGGAGAAGCTCGGCCCATGGTGGAAAACGTAATGAATGTCACTGACCGACTTGTGTGGGAACCTAACTCCTGGTGTAGCTGTTCACCCCAAGCTCAGGACATTAGTATTCAAAAGACAGACTGGAAGGGCCTCCCCCTGCCCAGTCCCTGGATGGCTGGGCTGCATACCTGCTTCTGAGAGTTCTTCCTCGAGGGACGTGCCTGCCTCTGGGTCTGGGGCTGTTTCAGACTTCGCATCCATATCCTGCTGGTCATTTCCAGAGTCCTGCAGGTGGAGGATCTGCTTACTACTGGCTGTGACCCTGAAATGCCTCTCCCCTACATCATCTCTGAGGACTGCGGGGTGGAGGGGAGGGGAGAGGTGAAGGAAAGAGAGAGAGGGAAGGAAGTGTGGTCGGGCCAGCCCTGGGCTGAGGGGAGGGAGCCTAACCCTGAGCACCCCACGCCACAGCCAACATGTTTGGCAGCTTCCTTCCAGGTTCTGTTGGTGGGATTTGTTTAACAGGGAGCAGAGTGAAGAGGCCATGCGGACATGTGTTGAGTGGGCCTGGGGTTAAATATGCTCTGCCACTGCACCCCTCCTCCTATGCCCCAGTAATGACGGGCAGGTGAGCTCTAGGTGGGGAGTGGGGGCGAGGGGCACTCTTCTACTCTGCTCAGCAGCATACCTCAGTTGAGTATGGATAACTTGAAAAAAAAAGATAAAAAGGTAATTTTGTTTAGAAGTTAGGAGACCACCTACTCTTTAGACGATGAGGTGGGGAGAGGTGAGGGAGGTGGAGGTGGGGGGTTACGAGACTTCGTGTGCAACCCACTGGCTTCGCTGAGGATGCAGCAGCCGGGAGGGGAGCAGGCTAGCCGGAGGTCACCCTACAAATTCCCAGCAGGGCTGGACTAAAGCCAGCTCCTGAGCCCTAGGCCAGGCCGAGACACCGCGCGCCCCACCGCCACCCCCTGGGTCCTTTCCCAGTGACTCCCGCCATAGGCACTGGGATCACCAAGGAGCCGACTGCTCCTCTAGCCACTGACTGTCCCTGTGCTGTCTGGAACAGAGGGTGGCTGGACCGGGGATAGGTGGCCATGGCCCTGTCCCCAAAGGAGCTGCTTCACCTTTGGGCACACCTCTGCTCCCCAGAGTGGCACAGAGGAAGAAATGGGGGGCTCCCAGCCTAATCTCTGCCAGTCCCTTACCTGAGCTCCGGGGGGAGATGGCTTGAGGAAGTGCCCGTCCCCTGAGTCAGGGCTGTAAATACAGACCAGGTTGCTGGGCGTCACGTTGAGGTAGTGATTCCGCAGCGAAGGGGAAAACACCCCGATCTGGAGGGAGGAAGGGGGGGCATGAGGGGCTGCCCTTGTCCCACAGTCACAGCTTGGCTTGGCTCTTGGGAGGGAAGGCAGCCAGACAGGTGAGAAGACGGACCCTCGGCGGCTCTCCCCAGGTCTGGGGCAACGGGGGTGCGTAGGTCCCCACCGGGGGCTCCCCTACCTGCTTCAGGAGCAGCACGGAGCCTGGCCTCAGCTCATTCTGGCGAGTCTCCAGCAGCACCCTGTGCACCGTCCCCGGCATCTCCCCTGCAACCACCATGCGGCTTGTCAGCCTTGGGGCCCAGGCTGCAGATGACCTGACAGACACTCCTCAGACCCCCTGGACCGAACTCCTTACCCGTGGGGTCCTTGAAAACCACACTGGCGTCCATGGTGCTCCGGGTCAGGGACTTGACCATCACTGCCATTCTGGGGACCCTGTTCCTGGGCAGCTGCCTCAGGGCGGCCTGGTTGTGAGAGGCATGCACTGAGCCCAGGGAGTCTCCCAGGTCTCCCGGCAGCCCACGCCAGCCAGGGCCCTGAGCAGGGGAAGTGGATGGTGGGGAAGGAGGGCATAGGGACATCCCTGCCAGGGGCACTTGAAAGGGTCCTCCTCCATCCTTCTGGGTGACCTGCACTGCCAGGCCCTTGGCCTCCCTCTGCCTTCCTTTGGTGTCCCTGTGTCCCTCCAGCCCCCACTGCAGCAGGCCTCGGGCAGGGCTGTGTCTGCACTTGGCCCTTGCTCTCTGGCAGTTCAAGGGCAGCAGAGGGCTGCTCCGTGCACTCAGAGACAAGAAGAGCCATGCCCGTGCCCACGGCCTCCTGCCCAGCACCAGGGCTGGCAGGGGTGGGCGTAAGAGGCGATGACGGGGCAGAGGCGCAGGGGGTCTGTCGATGGAAGAGAAATGCCGCGGGGCACAGGACCCTCACCTTCCGCAGCACCATGATGATGCTGTAGGTACAGAGGAAGCAGCCGGGGTCGCTCTCATCCAGGCCCAGCGACGACTTCATGGCCAGCCAGGGCCCTCGCCCGAAATCCTCCTCTGATGACGAGGCCTGGGAACCAGCACCCACCTGGGCCCACAGAGCACAGGGAGCCCAAGGTACTGCCTGAGCTGGGAGGCTCGGGAGAGTGCCCTCCCTCCTCCGGCTGGGTCATCTCCAAGCCCACAGCTCGGGATCTGAGATCTGGGTGCCCAGCACTGCCCTCACCCAGCCAAGACAGGGGCAGCTGCTCTACCAAACAGGAACAAAACCCAGGCGGGCCCTGACTTTAAGTTCACTATAACAAAAGGTGAACCAGGCCGTCTCGAAGGCTCGAAACAGCCCCACGCGCAAGGCCACTTCGAAAGCAGTCACTGATTGCTCGGGGAGGCCTCTGGCTTTCATCGTTCACCTTCTCGATGGTTCAATGCTTTCATTCCAGGGAGACCCTTACTGTTTTGGTGCTAACATGGACGGGGGAACGCGGGGAACTGCAGCAGACAACAAAACCAAGGCCGAGTCTGAGGGCAGAGCCGGCATCCCGGGGAGGAGCGAGGCTGGGTCCCAGTCAGGGACAGAAAAGGAGTGAGGCTGGAGCGGCCCAGGCACCCAGAAACCTGATAAGGGTCCCGAGATAACGGCCTTCCAATACTTCTGCCGCTCTCCTGCCAATGGAAAGATGGGGCTAGCTGGGTCTTGATCTCTTAGCTGGCAAAGAACTCTGGATCACGGCATTGGTGAGTGTCTGCCTAGCAACCACTCCCAACGGCCTTCTCCAAATGCCAATGCTGCCAGCAGGGACCAGCATCCCTTGGCTTCTCCACTCTTGCAACAGGCTGGGGTGACCCTCACTCCCAAAGGGTCCCCAGGATGTGAGCGTTCACCCGGAGCCATCGTTACCTTGGTCCGGAATTTAGCCAGGGCCCCATGAGTCGGCGTGGGGGGCGTGGACACCATGATCTCCGCCAGATTCCTCCCGCTGTGCTGAGAGGGGCGAGAGAAGGCGAGGTGAGCACAAACTCAGCAGCTGCTGTTTACGAGGACGGCTTCTTGTCTGGTTATGCAATGAGTGCAGGAAACTATCAGGGACAATTAACACATATTACATCTCTCCTAACGAAGTCTCAGGAGCCTTGTCAGCAGCTCCAAAAAGATGCTTTGGGGATCATTTTGGGAAAGTGAGGACGCTGGAGCTGGAGCTGGAGCTGGAGCTGTCCCTGACCCAGGAGCAAAACCCAGCGCTGCCTGCAGGGGGCGGTGACCATGGGGAGGCGATTCCCTAGTCCCCTCTGGGGGTCTGGGCCTTCCCTACAGGGAGACCTGGCCCAGGAGGGACACGGGAGGTCTCTTAAAGGGCTAGACAAGAAAAGGCAACCGCAGCAATGACTTCAAACCTCTCAGAGTAAGGAGGGCAGGGCTGCCAGTTCCTCTGACAGGTTCTCTGGGGTCCTCTGCCAAGACTAAGGAGGCCTGGTGATACTGGGGTTAAGGACTCAGCTGCTAACCGACCGAAAGGTGGGTAGTTTGAACCCCCTAGTCACTCTGAGGGAGAAAAAGAGGCCGTCTGCTTCCATCAGGACTGACAGCCGCAGAAACCCTAGGGGCAGTTAGTTCTACTCCGTCCTAAGGTAGCTGAGTCAGAAAGGAGACGGACACGGGTGTGCTAGCCCCAGGTTAGTTTGTCCTGTCCCCCACCCCCATCCCAGCCTCACCAAACTCCCTTCAGGGCCCCACCCCCTTTCTAGCCCCAGCGTCTCCCTCTAGACCTGCCCTTCCACTACCAGCCACACAGCTGCGTTGAGGCTCTCCCACAATGCCCTGCTCTGGAGCCACTGTGCCTTTGCACATGTTCCTCCCCGTCTTCCCACTGCTGGATGGTCACCCAGTGTCCCCACTGTGCTTGCTCACCTGTCAACCTCCTACTTCCTACCCAAATCCCCCCACCGGCAGCCCGGGGCAGCCAGCCCAAGGCACACCCTCCCAGCCTGCCCGGCGGGGTGCGTGTCATCGCTGATGACTTGCATCTCCCACGCCGCCAGGGCGCCGTCCGTCTGTTCCCAGAGCGGTCTCCTGAGTGCCAAGCACACTGCCAACCCCACACAGCCCGCAGCCCACCTCCCTGCCCTGGGCGCAGGCCCTGACAACTGCTTAGTAAGCACATGGGAGCCGGCTGGGTGCCTGTCCAGCAGGTTCTCCCTTCCACAGCTCGGGAAGCCCTCCCTCCTTTCACCCCAGCAGTTAAGACCCCTCGGATGGGGGGGGGGGCAGTGTGTGGGGTTCTGTTTTCAGCCGGTGGGAAGACCCTCACCTGGTGTGGCAGGAGCCCTGCCGGGCCCGGGAAGCGGCGGGCTCTGGTTCTCATGGCAGTGCGAGTGGGTGGCTGGGGTGTCCGGCTGGCAGCGGTAACCAGCTGTACCAGGTGGTTGGTGACCATGGGGGTCTGCAGAGCTGCTTGAGGCACCAAGGAGGAATGTGGGCCCTTTGGGGTGCAGACAGGAGCCTCAGGAGAAGGCCCTGGAGCTTGGGGCCGGAAGCCAGAGCGAGCGCTTGGCATAGCGGGACAGCCTGGTTGGGGAGCTTGTGGTCCAGGACATCCAGGCTTGCCCCCATGCCAAACACCCAGGGCCTGGAGTGGCTGACGGGAGAGCAGGGCCTGGGGGCTGCAGGGCCCGGGCCCTCTAGCAGACTGGAGGGGATGGGCTGCTTGGAGAAGGCGGCACTGTTGTGTGGGCACTGTGGAAACCATTGGGGTAGGAGGGTTCCCAGGGGCCCCAGGCCTCAAGGGGCGCTGTGGAGCCCTGCAATGGACCGGTAGGTCTGGCCTCTGGCCCTGGCTAGAAACATAGCCTTGGTGTCTGCTGTGGAAGGCCTGAGCAGGCCCTCGGGGGCAAGGTTGGTCCAACTCGGCCACGCGTGCTTTCTTGGCCGAGACAGGGTCCTCCCCCTGCCAGGTGGGCAAGGCTCCCGTGGCCTCATGGCGAACCCCAAGTTCCATGTCAGGCCCCTCTAGCTCCATGTTTGCCAGGACCGTATCAAAGTCATCGTGGTCAGGCCCCTCCAAACCACCAGCCGCCTGCTGTCGACTCTCCAAGGGGGGCCGGGAGCCGGGGGCCGGGACTCCAGGTCTTGCTGACTCTTTGGGTGCTTCTGTGAGAATCCCTCTTCTCTGGTTGCCAGCCCAACAGCCGAAAGTGGAGACAGGCCTTCGGGGGGCTGTCTCTGTGGGAGGGGGTGTCGCAGCGGCCCTGGCCATACTAGAGGTAGGGAGGCGTAGTCCCAGGGCTGGCCGACTGGAAGTCTCAGAAGGAACCATGGGGTGTGACATCTGCCACCCGGTGGACTGGGCTGGCATCCTGTCCTGGGGCTTGGAAGAGGCTGGCCTCAGACACCCAGCCTTCACCAGCGGGGAGTCAGCAAACTGGTTCTCAGCATCCTCCACGGCAGACAAGAAATCCTACAGAGAAGCAGAGGCAGGGGCTTGGCATCTGGAAATCAAGAAAGCCGAGATGCACCGTCTCGGACAGGCTGTGCGTGCGTGCAGGCTCCACCTCTAAACCAGAACCCCTTTTAGTAGCCCACACAAACGAACAGGACGGCCGTGTTACTGCTAGCCACCTTGGTCCGTGTCTGGGAGTCCACTGCCCGGCTCCTGTCAGAATTATCTGCAGGTGAAGTGTTCGGTGGGAGAGAGACGGGGCTTTCTACTCCTATAAGGAGTTACAGTCTCGGAAAGCCACAGGGGCAGTTCTCAACCTGTGGGTCGCGACCCCTTGTGGGTCAAACGACCCTTTTACAGGGGTCGTCCGATTCATAACAGTAACAAAATGACAGTGATAAAGTAGCAACGAAAATAATGTTAGGGTTTGGGGGCCACCACCACATGAGGAACTGGATGAAAGGGTCGAGGCATTAGGAAGGTTGAGAACCGCTGTCCTAGAGGGTCACTACGGGTGGGCATTGACCCCAGGGCAGTGAGTTTGGCTTTGGTTTTTGGAAGTGTTCAGGTGGCTTCTCGGTCTTTACTCTCGGGGAGAAGAAGCAAACATCAGGGAGCCAAGTCAATCCCCCAAGGGCAATCACCCAGGAGGTGGGCCAGTTGGGGTCCAGCTGGGCATGCTGCCAAGCCACAGCCCTCTCTCTACCGCAGTGCGTGCGCGAAGCGCGCGAATACACGCCGGGCACACACGGCCCGCGGTACATCCGCGAGCCGGGCTGCAGCTTCACAGGCAGACGGTAAATATAGATTGCCAGGCAAGTTAAATTAAGTCTGGGTTCCAGCTGAGAAGCAAGGTGAGACTGACACCTTCCAGAGCAACAGGCCTGTTCCGAGGGCGGCTCTGAGTCAGAACTGCTGATTTAACTGACAGGAGGGTCCCCCCACCTCACCCCGATCCCCAGCCACCGCATTCATTTGTCTGTGCTAGAAAAAGGCTTTCTCCCACTTGGTGTATTGTCAAGAACATCGCAAACCCCAGCACGGTGACCCTGCTGGGATTCATTGATGATGATGATTAGAACTACAGCAGCAATCATGTGCCTGCCATGACCCTGGGGGCTGATGGAGCCCCTTCCTCCCCAAGAACGCACTCTCAGACATGACGTCATCCTGCCCTGGGATGGGGTAAAGGGACTACTTGCCCACCATAGATTGGAAACTGGACGGGGTGGGGCCCTTTGCTGCTGACCGGGTAATCCATCACCTGCCGAGACCCAGAAGGCCACCTGAACAGTCACTGTGCCCATCTGGAATCACACAGCTCCGAGCAGCAGGACAACACTCGGCCCATCTCTATGGCAAACACACACACCATGGGTCCCAGGGTCCCTGGCGCCACACTAGCCGTACTTGTCTGCTGCCATCCCTAGAGATTCTGGTGTCATGAGTGTGTGAGATTCCGGTGTCAGAGGTGTGTGGTGGGGCTCAACAGGGGTGGTCTTAACAGGCTAGCTCTGGGTTCAAATGTAACCTCACCATCTTTTGAGGGGAGGTGAGACAGGGAAGGGCCTATGGGCCGGAGGAACCCCCTCATACTGCTGACGAGAACATGGAAGGCCAGAGCAGGAAGTCATCTGTCGTTGCTCACAGAGCCAGCTGGTGACCGACTGTTGCCCACCCGGCTCAGGCTCTCCATAAACATTCTTCCCACCTCCAGCGTGTCACTGGCAAAAGTGGATGAAATCATTTGCATGACACAGCTTCTGAGAGCAGGGGACCTTAGCATTTGAAGACAATCAGGCAAGTCAGTGAAGTGGGTTGTTTACGTTTCTCAGCCTCTCACACCCGAAAAGGACGAACACTGTCTGCAGTGTTTGGGGCTCCTCGTGAATGCTCCAGGCCTAGGGGGTTGTAGCCTAAGACCTTCTCTGCCACCTCGGGTCACCAGCCCGTCTTACCTCATCTTCAAACTCCTCTTCCACCGCAAACAGCTTCTGCAAACGGCACGCCTGACAGGAAAACAAAGCGAGCGAGGTTGGAGAAGAATCCCACTTGCAAGTACACTGTCTTCCCTACGCTTCTCCCCAAGCCCAGCAACAAGGCCAGCAGGTGTCCCGTTCTCAGTTTGTTTTCTCGAGAGTGCTTGGGATGAGAAGAGACGAGAGAGGATTTGTGTAAGGATTTCGCGGATTTGGAAGCCTGTCTTGTAAAAGAATGCACTCATGCACCAGCATTAATCCTGGAAAGGAGGAGCGATCCAGGGAAAGCACAGGTCATTCTTCAGATGCTGCTCTGTGCGTGGGCCAAAGAATGTGGCAACATCTCATAGATCCGAGCTGGAGAACCTTGGTCCCCCATACAGGAACATCACCACAAACCCAAGCACGCCCAGCCCAGTGGCCTTCTTCTGAAAGCCAAGCCAGTGGTTTCCTCTTACTTAACCCAGTGCTCAAAAACCCTCTCCCAGTGGATGCCCAGTCCTTGGCTCCTTTTTTCCAGGTAGCAGGGCTGGGATGGCTGGCTCCAGACCAGTGTGGAACCCAGAGACAGGGCTGTGGCTGACCCAACACGCCAGGGCAGCAAGAGCTACCGTAGAGACACCCACGTCCACGATGTCAAAGATTTCATTTGACTAGAATCCATCGTCAGCGTTCATGGAGGCAGCAGTCAAGAAAGCAAGCGACTTACTGCAAGGGGCAAATCTGCAGCGAAAGACCTCTTTAAAGGGTGAAGGAGCCAAGATGTCACTTTGAGGGCTTGGGTGCGCCTGACCCAAGCCATGGTGTTTCCAATCGCCTCCTGGGCCTGGCCAACAACCTAGGAGGGCTCCTGCACTCAATTGTGTGCCGGCAGAGAATGCTGAGTGCAACATGGTTTGCCACGAGAGCCAACAAATGTGTGTCGGAAGAAGTACAGCCACACTGGTCCTTGGAAGCCAGGAATGGCCAGACTTCCTCTCGCCTACGTGGGACAGCTGATCAGGAGCAATCAGTCCCTGGAGAAGGGCATCATGCGATCAAAGTAGAAGGTCAGTTAAAAAAGAAGGCCCTCCAGGAGACGGAATGGCACAATGGCTGCCACAAGGGGCTCACACGGTGACTGTGAGACTGACCCAGCTCCTGTCCAGCCTCCTGTGGTAGAGTCCCTGTGGGTCGAACGTAAGCAAAGTCACTTGGCCATCTAACCTTAGGGCTCAGTGGGGGGTAGGGACGTTTGAGGAGGCGGGGTAAGATGAGGAAAAGTAAAGAGATGGGGAAGTGCCTTCCTGGGGTCTCCCGGATGGTCCAGGCCAGGCTGGACCAAGGCCCACCACCTAAC